TGTTGGAGGACACCAAGTGGCCAGACGACTTCGGCTATTTCCGAAGTTAGTATTGCATAAAAACAGCCTGCGATCAGCACACAGCTGAAGCAATCGTTCCCCATTGTCCGTACGTACCGAGTCCAGTCCATGTCGACCTCCCAATTGAGTCTCAGATGCACTAAGCTTGCCCACTTGCGCATTTATATCTCCGGCAACCACCACAATGTCTGAGCTTTTAGCTCGCCGCAGCAGGGCATTCAGCGCGTTGTAAAACCTGTCTTTGACGGCGTCAGAGATACAGTCAGTTGGGCCATAGGCAGACACGATAAACAGACATCTATCAACTTGCCGCTTGTGAGACTCCTTCGCAGACGTTGCCCCAGGGGACGCAGACCTAGACCGGAGGATGTTTGGGGTCTCGAACCCTATACTCCGGCTCATAAGCCCGACCAAAATTCATCGGTGTTTAGCGGGAAATATATGTGCATTTTCGCGATACAAGTTATACATGTTCCAATCCCCAATCTGAATCGCCAGGAGACTGTTGGACCTCTACGGATTGACGAGTATAGCATGGGAGACTCTATGGACGTCGCATGGACACCCCCAGTGTAGGTCAGTAAGTCGCGGATGTACACAAACCGTCACACCACGGGAAGGTCTAGTCATTTCGATATCCAAGTACGAAACTGACTTTCCGATCGGTTTCCGCCTACTTCTGATTTCGCACATCCGATGATCCGAAAGGCGCTCCTACTGGGCTTGCTAGGGTCGGTATTCCAAGCCACCGAACAGAGGGATCTCGTTGAGTCGTTGCTGGTTGATAGTCGCCTCTGTACTGTTCGTTTGGCAACTTCTGTGTGAGTGTCCTTTTGGAAGCGCCGATAATCGCTGCTTTTACTTGTATCTGCTTACGCCTTCACAGACGGTAGTCCTGGCAAATTCAAGGGTAGTTTTAAGGTCGCTTGAAGCGCCTTTTTGCGTTGGGCTAAGAGCTCATATATTGTTGCCGCAGGTAATGAATACGCAAATGGGTAGACTCGCCGCTGCTCAAATATAATTGGGTGGTCACCTGGGACTGGAGTCGCGACGCACAGGAAACAGCGATCGCCTGCCGCAATTATGTGCTGACCAGAGGCTGTTTCTCCGCAGTACTTACTTCCGCGAATACTGCAGCCGCTTGGCCACATGGCAGCTTCTCCATTTGAATCACCCTGTAACGCACATGAACCACATCGTCGTTAGCTATGGGTGGCATTGGTCAATTACTAAATGTCGCTCGTGCTGGGACGCCAATGTGGATGTGGATCACGTTTGTTCGTGGCTGTATCCCGTCTCACTTTTCGGGGACGGGCAAGGTGCGAACACCTCACCTGACCGTTAAGAAGTTCTCGGACCCCTATATAATACATCCACGAAAGCAGCCTACCGAAGTCTCTTTCAGACAAGACGTTTTCTGATGTTGACTCTTACTTGGATGTGTTGACCTCAACCCTGCATTTTACCTGTGCATCATCATCATCGACAGCATGGCGTCAGTGTTCAACACCGATGCTTCACTGCCGTAGCAGTGAAGCTGTGCAAACGGCACAACCAACTAGATCTAGACACTGAATCTTGGATGTATGTTTCAGGCCAGACCCAGGTCACTCTCCTTGCCACATTTCTTGTTTCATTGGTAAGACTTTATTCAAATAAATAAATAGTTGTTCGGCAGTGTAGCATCACTGTTGTCATCTGGTGTTGGATTCAATAGAGCTGGTTTCTCCGGTGCCTATAGACCACTTGGAAAGATGTATGAGCAGATAATGTAACACTCCGGTGTTAAAGTGCTGCTGATAATTTTTATTCGCCGGTCAGTGAGTGGCGTATGTCTTTTAGTTGTTTCGTGAAAGGCGGAATGCTGACCCTAAAGCCTAGATTTGTGGAACACACAAGGTTCCTATAGGTTAAACGACGGTGCATCAGTGGACGTCATGGATGGGAGTCAAGACCAAATTATGTGGGATAAAGGCACTTGCATGTCGTGGTGTTCCTAACTCTGTATTGTTCCAACTTATTTTATGCAAGAAGCTGATATGCTTTCCAATTAATCCGTTGATTCAAAGTCTTTACATGTCTATCTCTTTTGTCTTTTTAGGTTCTTTAAGCCTTTTGGGAGCCATTTTCGGAATAAGTTCAAGCATCACCTGCGCACTCAACTCCATCTTCACCGCACGTTCGCTGCCGCTTGTCGATGGCAGCGTTTGGCGCCTAACTTTCTACAATAACGTAAATGCCGTCATTCTATTTATTCCCTATATCCTTTTGGTGGAATCCGGTAACCTGATTGGCTCGTTCTGGTTCAGGTAAGCACCAATAATGCGTTTTTTAAATAGTCTAGCCATTGCGCCAAGCACCGTTCCTTACACAGCGAGCAGGGGTATATGTACATATATGCATATATATATATATATATACAGCATGCTCAACTTGGATGTTAGTAGTGATGAGCTAACCAAAGTTATCCTGTCCTCTGCACCCATGGACTTGCAGTCACTGAACATGCCAATTACAATCCAAGAGGAAGCTTTCGAAGTTGTGGAACGTTTTACGTATCTTGAAAGTTGTATTAGTTTGACTGTAGTGTGACAGATGGGGTGAATGCACGAATCTGCAAGGCTTGGGTCGCATTTGCTAAGTTGAGATATCCCTGAATCTCAAGGGACGTGTATATCAAGCTACAGCGCGGGCTGTTTTGTAATATGGTTGTGAGACTTGGTCTATTCGAGCAGCGGAACTGAGGTGTCTTCAAGTGTTTGACAATCGTTGTCTCAGAACCATAGCTCGTGTGAGTTGGTGTCAAAGAATCCGTAACGAAGCAGTTGGAAAGTGAGTTTTCGATTGTGCAACATGGACTTCACTTGAGGAGTGTGTGCAACACCAGAAGCGGCGTTGGTTGGGACATGTGTTGCTAATGCCTAACCATCGTTTGCTTAAGAGACTACTGTTTTCCGTGCCCAATCCGGAGTGGTGGAAGCAGAGAGGTGGGTAACCCTCTACCTTGTAGAGGGGTATGAATGAAATGACGAAACGTTTGGGTGCTATCAGTGCTACTCACCTTCTAGGATGGGTACCGCGTGGTCCTCACTGTTTCTGGTTGGAGACACTGAAAGATATAGCTGCTTATCGATGTCAATCTCATTCTTATTGTCAGCTCCTATCCAGATTGCCTGAATGAGTGTGTGAAGGTGCAGGCACCTCGGAATGATTGAAGTATGCCAGAAAGAAGTCGCTTTCCTGTCCACCTTTATTCTTTTCTTCACAATAAGACTCAAATAAATCATGGTTGTGCGGCAGTGAAGCATCGGTGTTGTCATGCTGTCGATGATGATGAAGGTAACGATGATGATGATGATGATGATGATGATGCACT